GGCAAATAGGAGATCATGGGGTCCCCTGTGTCCCTGCCCACACTCAAGCCACACCCACACAAAGCACAGTGCCAAATAGCAAAAAATGCCCTGGTGCTATTCTCTATATATACAACACTGATATCTGAACACTTAGTAGCACTCAGTGGACAGATGTCAGTGATATATATATATATGTGGAAAGACACTGAGTGTACAATCCTAGTTATATATAGGGAATACCACTAAGACAGATATCTGTGTTATAAATATGGAAAAGAAATCAGTGTTACATATGGGGAATAGCAGTCAGTGTACAGATATCATTGTTATATAACACTGATATCTGTACTCTGACTGTTGTTCCCTATATATAACACTGATGTCCGTACGCTGCATGCTGTTCCCTATATAAAACACATACACTCAGTCAGTGATATATATATATATATATATATATATATATTACAGTCATGGCCGAAAATTGTTGGGCACCCTTGATATTTCAAATCATGTATTTCTCACGAAACGTATTGCATTAACACAATTTTGCTATACACATGTTTATTCCCTTTGTGTGTATTGGGACAAAACAAAAAAAGGGAGGAAAGAAAGCAAATTCGACATAATGTCACACAAACCTCCAAAAATGGGCTGGACAAAAGTATTGGCACCCTTTCACAACTGCGGATAAATAAGAATGTTACAAGCATGTGATGCTCCTGTAAACTCACCTGGGCAAGTAACAGGTGTGGGCAATATAGAAATCACACCTGAAAGCAGATAAAAAGGAGAGACGTTCACTTAACCTTTGCATTGTGTGTCTGTCTGTGCCACACTAAGCATGGACAACAGAAAGAGGAGACGAGAACTGTCTGAGGACCTGAGAACCAAAATTGTGGCAAAATATCAACAATCTCAAGGTTACAAGTCCATCTCCAGAGAACTAGATTTGCCTTTGTCCACAGTGCGCAACATTATCAAGAAGTTTGCAACCCATGGCACTGTAGCTAATCTCCCTGGTCGTGGACGGATGAGGAAAATTGATGAAAGATTGCAACGCAGAATAGTCCGGATGGTGGATAAGCAGCCCCAAACATGTTCCAAAGACATTCAAGCTGTCCTGCAGGCTCAGGGAGCATCAGTGTCAGCGCGAACTATCCGTCGACATTTAAATGAAATGAAACGCTATGGCAGGAGACCCAGGAGGACCCCCACTGCTGACACAGAGACATAAAAAAGCAAGACTACAGTTTGCCAAAATGTACTTGAGTAAGCCAAAAGCCTTCTGGGAAAACGTAGTGGACAGATGAGACCAAGATAGAGCTTTTCGGTAAAGCACATCATTCTACTGTTTACCGAAAACGGAATGATAGCCTACAAAGAACAAAACACAGTACCTACGGTAAAATATGGTGGAGGTTCAATGATGTTTTGGGGTTTTTTTTGCTGCCTCTGCACTGGGTGCCTTGACTGTGTGCAAGGCATCATGAAATCTGAGGATTACCAAAGGATTTTGGGTCGCACTGTAGGGCCCAGTGTCAGAAAGCTGGGTTTGCGTCCAAGATCCTGGGTCTTCCAGCAGGACAATGACCCCAAACATACGTCAAAAAGCACTCAGAAATGGATGGCAAAGAAGCGCTGGAGAGTTCTGAAGTGGCCATAATGAGCCCAGATCTAAATCCCATTGAACACCTGTGGAGAGATCTTAAAATTGCTGTTGGGAAAAGGTGTCCTTCCAATAAAGAGAACACTGGAGCTGTTTGCAAAGGAAGAGTGGTCCAAAATTCCGGGTGAGAGGTGTCCCTTATATTATAGGAACACATATTTCAGTTATGTTTTCCAAAGGGTGTGCAACCAAATATTAAGTTAAGGGTGCCAATACTTTTGTCCAGCCCATTTTTGGGGTTTTGTTTGTGACATTATGTCATATTTGCTTTTCTGCCTCTGTTTTATATTTGTTCCAATACATACAAAGGGAATAAACATGTGTATAGCAAAACATGTGTTAATGCAATACCTTTTTTTTGTGTGAAATACTTGATTTTCAGGAAAAATATCAAGGGTGCCAACAATTTCGGCCATGACTGTATATATATATATATAGATATGGAAAGGCACTCAGTGTACATATATTAGTATTATATATAGGGAATGACACTAAATGTACAGGTATCAGTGTTGTATAACACTGATATCTGTACACTGAGTACTATTCCCTATATATAACACTGACATCTGTACATTGAGTGCCACTCAGTGTACAGATATCAGTGTGCACTCTTGGGCCATACACAGGGCTGGCTTTAATATTGGTTGGACCCTGGGCAAAAATTTTCTTGGGCCCCCCTCCACCATTCAATTTTGTTCTCCGCCCCAACATTTCAAAAGACAAACAAACCCATAAACTTATCTAAAAAAACTTTAATAACATAAACATAAAAAAAACTGGTTCACACCCACTGATTGGTCGAGGCTCACCAATTGGTTACTAGAAGTTACTGCACATCATTGCCGTTCACTGATTGGTTGCTATAGGTTATTGTGCGTCATTACCGCTTACAAATTGATTGCTATAGGCTACTGTGCATCATTACCACTAATTGGTCCTTTTTGCAGTGAGGGGGGAAGACAGAGCGGGTGGTAAGCTAGAATTATTACTTGTAGTCAGGGCTTATTTTCTCAGAACAGGTGTAAAAACTCACCCTCTCTGGGCAACTCCTTTCCCCCCTTCAGTGCTCCCCCTCCTTTCCACAACCCCCCCCCCCCCTGCTGGCACCTCTGCATTAGACCTCCAACCTCACTAAAGCTTTTTCTCTGCACAAACATCCCCTCCCCTCACCCTTTCTCTCACCTGTTTACAAAAGCTTCACAAAAGTGCATCTTGGCTGCACCCACTATAACGGGAAAACTATTTGCGGGCAGGGAAATCAGGGTTATTAGATATAGGGTCAGGATAGGAAATAGCACCTGGCATAGACACTGGGCAGGATAGAACACCCAGCCTGACTAGCTGCAGTGCTGACCTGGGCTGGGGATTACACACTGACCTGCTGCACACAAAGCAGGATGCCAGCTCAGGGACAACTCCCCTCTCCAGTCCTGTCTGCCCACCCCCTCCAGCTCTCCAAGTTCAGCAGGGATGTGGACCTGCCCCTCCTCTGAATCCCCAAGGAGGAGAGGTGGCTGAAGCGCCTGCCACTGTCCCATCCACTATCGCTCTCTGATCTGGCCAGCATTAGTCCTCTCCGATTGCTGCATGAACCACAGACATGGATGCCCTGGCTCACTGCCCCCTCGGGGCTTGCCTAAATCTCCTTTCTGCATATAAGCTGTGGACACATCCAGACAGACTAAGGCACTCATGGGGCCTCTACTAATGCAATAGGAAGAAGGGTTAGCCGCACACCGGTGGATTGATGAATATAGTAAATATTTATTGGTCCATAGGACACATAAAACACCAGGACATGTATACAGGACTTGTTAATGCGTTTCACATGATCTCGGGCTTATGATTAAGTCCTGTATACGTGTCCAGGTGTTTTATGTGTCCTATGGACCAATAAATATTTACTATATTCATACATTCTCCGGTGTGCGGCTAACCCTTCTTCCTATTGCATCATGTGTGGTGGTGAGCCAGATCCTGCGCCTGTTTTGGATTGATCCAGATTGTTTGCCTGAGTGGTAATACCTCTGTTCTTTGGACCCTCTACTGACCCCAGGCCCTCGGGCAGTGCCCGAGTGCCCAAATGGTCAATCCGCCCCTGCATATGAAAGAGGTTCATATTAATTGCAACTTAATTGCAACTTCTCATTATTTATATTACATTTCATATAGGAAGGTGAAAACCTGGCCGATGCAGAGGAAAGATGTGAAGGTCTGATCAAAAATAAGATTCAATTGGAGGCTAAGATCAAGGAGATCACAGAAAGGCTTGAAGATGAGGAAGAGAGCAATGCAGAGTTGACAGCCAAGAAGAGGAAATTAGAAGATGAGTGCTCTGAGCTGAAGAAGGACATTGACGACTTAGAGCTGACCTTGGCCAAAGTTGAGAAAGAGAAGCATGCCACAGAAAATAAGGTTTGAGAGCTTTCACTGGTTCTTAACCAAGTTACTTCTATATTCAAAGCACACAGCTATTTTAATACTCTTATTGTCTAGGTTAAAAACCTAACTGAGGAAATGGCTGCACTAGACGAAAACATTGCAAAGATTTCCAAAGAGAAGAAAGCTCTCCAGGAAGCACACCAACAGACTCTTGATGACCTTCAAGCAGAAGAAGACAAAGTTAATACTTTGACCAAAGCTAAAATTAAGCTGGAACAGCAAGTGGATGATGTGAGTGCATATAACAATACTCTACAATTATACAACTATTTGTTCAGTAGTTAGTAAATTGCATTTTCACTCATTTGTAAATATTCAAACTAAACAGCTGGAAGGTTCCCTGGAGCAAGAGAAGAAACTTCGTCTTGACCTTGAGAGAGCTAAGAGGAAGCTTGAAGGAGATTTGAAACTGGCCCAAGAGACCATAATGGATCTTGAGAATGAGAAGCAGCAAGCTGAGGAAAAAATAAAGAAGTTAGTTTTATTATTTAATTTCCCTTTTATGAGCCTGGTTTATTAACAAAAGTCATTTTTGTTTGATTAACATTACTTTTAAAATGCAGAAAAGACTTTGAAATAAGCCAGCTGCAAGGAAAAATTGAGGATGAGCAGTCTTTGGCATCTCAGCTGCAGAAGAAGATCAAGGAACTTCAGGTAGATACAATGTGGTAAAAAACAGTAGTATATTTTTCTAGCAATCAGTAAATGATTTCCAGTAATAACCAAATGTTTTTTTAAGGCCCGTATTGAGGAAGTTGAAGAAGAGATAGAAGCAGAGCGTGCTGCTCGTGCCAAGGTTGAGAAACAGAGAGCTGACTTGTCCAGAGAACTTGAAGAGATCAGTGAGAGACTTGAAGAAGCTGGTGGTGCCACCTCAGCTCAGGTTGAGCTCAACAAGAAACGTGAAGCTGAGTTCCAGAAACTGAGACGAGATCTGGAAGAATCCACCCTTCACCATGAAGCCACCTCTGCTGCCTTGCGCAAAAAGCATGCTGACAGTGTGGCTGAACTTGGAGAACAGATTGACAATCTCCAGAGAGTTAAACAGAAACTGGAGAAGGAGAAGAGTGAACTAAAGATGGAAATTGATGACCTTGCCAGCAACTTGGAGAATGTCTCAAAATCAAAGGTATGAAGAATATCATAGGAACACAAAGCCATATTTCTATGCTAAATCAATCCAACTTGTTCATCAACAATAAATGTTCTCCCCCTATAGGCCAACCTTGAGAAAGTGAGTCGTGTTCTTGAGGATCAGCTCAGTGAAATCAAGACCAAAGATGACGAGCACCAACGTGTTATCAATGACCTTACAGCCCAAAGAGCCCGTCTGCAAACTGAAAATGGTACAAATCTCAGTCATAAACTTTAAGCTGCTAAAGAATGATGATCTCTGCTACTGCCTTTTGTTGTGTATTAGTAAAACACATTGATGCATGTATAAACTTTTTTAGATTTTACAATTATGTGGGATTGCTAAATATTTTGCCAGGCAGGACCACTAAATATATAATATAATAACCTAATAATAATCTAAAAGTATGTACAAGGACAAATATCGGAATAATTAAATACAATTTTTTATTTTCAAGGTGAGTTGTCCCGGCAACTTGAAGAGAAGGAATCACTCGTTTCTCAGTTGACCAGAGGAAAGCAGGCATTCACTCAACAGACTGAGGAACTAAGAAGACAACTGGAGGAAGAAACCAAGGTAATGTAAATGCGTTAGTATTAAAGTGGTAGTAATCTGCATAAAATAGATCTAAAAAAATCTTCTCCTTGTAAGTTAAGAGCATAATGTATGCTAGTATGCATCACATTCTAGCACATTATGAAAGACCTACCTGAAAATGACTCCTTCTGAGTTCATGGGCTGGCCCAGCCGCAGTGACTTCATTCCTACGCATGTGCATTGGAGTCTCAGCCGCAGCACGGCTCTCTCAATGGACAACATGCCATCCCTACTAAAGTAAATAAACGGTGCACGTTTAGAAGATATTTACAGTACCTACAGATAAGCCTTTATAAAGGCTTACCTGTACATAAAACATAAAAAAAAAAATACTTTACTACCACTTTAATGTGGTCCCCAAAAACAGTAAAGTTTGATTGCTTAATGACTAAAACGTCTGACCTCAAAATCAGAAAAATATATTTCTAGTATAACAGCATAAACGGATATGTGTTCACAGGCCAAGAATGCCCTTGCCCATGCCCTGCAATCATCCCGCCATGACTGTGACTTGCTCCGTGAGCAATATGAAGAGGAACAGGAGGCAAAGGCTGAGCTTCAGAGAGCTCTGTCCAAAGCTAACGGTGAAGTTGCACAATGGAGAACCAAATATGAGACTGACGCCATTCAACGCACAGAGGAACTGGAAGAGGCCAAGTATGCTTGTGCCATATTAAATGTTCAGGAACAAAGGTTAATATATGTGGCTAGATACTAAACAGACTTTCCACTTTTTACGTACAGGAAGAAACTTGCTCAGCGTCTGCAGGAAGCTGAGGAGCAAGTGGAGGCTGTGAACTCCAAATGTGCCTCTCTAGAAAAGACCAAACAGAGGCTACAAGCTGAAGTTGAGGATCTTATGGTTGATGTGGAGAGAGCAAACAGTGCAGCTGCAGCTCTGGATAAGAAACAGAGGAACTTTGACAAGGTAATAAAGCCTATAAGGTGAGACAGGTTCTGAATTTTATATACCTTTAAATGTTTAGATTCATCTGAATACATTTATTTCAACTAAATAGGTTCTGACAGAATGGAAACAGAAGTATGAAGAGGGCCAGGCAGAACTGGAAGCCGCTCAGAAGGATGCTCGCTCAATGAGCACAGAGATCTTCAAGATGAAAAACGCATATGAGGAATCTTTGGATCAGCTTGAAACTCTCAAACGAGAAAACAAGAACTTGCAACGTAAGGACCTTAAATAAGAGGTTTCTGTTTCTTTTTCAAACATGAAACAATAATGTTTCTAAGACTCACATATTTATACACAAGACAACAAAAAAATTGCAAATATTAGCAATGCCCATAAAAGTTATTAGAGGTCTGAAAACTCTGGTTATACAGATAGTAATTATGCATGTTATTATGGAATTAAAATGGTTTCCTAATAAGTATTGGCATATTTTCTGAGGTGGTAATGTTGAATTTCAAATTCTGTAAAAACTGGCTTCAATTAAAGTGATTCTAAAGGCTTATTTTTTTAAAGAAAAAATAACAAGCATGTCTATACTTACCTGCTGTGTGTAGTGGTTATGTACAGAGCAGCCCAAATCCTCCTCTGCTTGGGTCCCCCGCTGGTGCTCCATGCATAGAATGCATGAAGGTAAAAAACATTGAGTCTTTAGAACCACATTGATTTGAAAATCATGAAAAAATAACCACATTATTTCCATTCTGTTCCCTAAGATTTGGCATCCCACTAGAGACTACTATCTTTTACTCCTGAACTTAAGTTCAAATGTGCTCCCTCTTTGAGGTTGATGCAAATTCTTTACCCTTTTAACACTGCTAATGGAGTCCTGAGTCTTTTGTGATTACATGTGTATTTGCAATTGGACTGTGTGATACTGTTCCTTCATTATCACTCTTTATACTTCCTTGAAACAACAAAAGAACCTTTGAAACAGAAAGTAACCACATTATTTATCTCTAAACAGAGGAAATCTCAGATCTAACTGAACAAATTGGAGAGACTGGAAAAACTGTACACGAGCTGGAAAAGTCCAAGAAATTGGTGGAACAGGAAAAGAGCGACTTGCAAGCAGCTTTAGAGGAAGCTGAGGTATAGAGACCTCTAATGTTGCCAGAAAAAAAATGCTTCATTTTTTTAGTTTAGTATTAAACCGGAATATGCTTTAACAGGGATCTCTGGAACATGAAGAATCCAAGATCCTCCGCATCCAGCTTGAATTGAATCAGTTGAAATCTGAGATAGACAGGAAAATTGCAGAGAAAGATGAGGAGATCGAACAGTTGAAGAGAAACAGCCAGAGAGTTATTGAAACCATGCAGACCACACTGGAGTCAGAAATCAGAAGCAGGAATGATGCTCTGAGACTTAAAAAGAAGATGGAAGGTGACCTGAATGAGCTGGAAATCCAGCTGAGCCATGCTAACCGGCAAGCCGCTGAGGCGCAGAAACAGCTCAGGAATGTGCAAGCCCAACTCAAGGTAAACATTAAAAAGCACTTCAGAAAATCAGGTAAAAACAACCAGTTGATATATAGCTTACACAGAATGTACATTTTAAAATCTAGGACAGCCAGCTGCAGCTGGATGACGCCCTGAGGAGCCAAGAAGACCTGAAAGAACAGCTGGCTGTGGTGGAACGCAGGAACAACCTGCAACAGGCTGAGATTGAGGAAATCAGGACTACTCTGGAACAAACAGAAAGATCTCGCAAGGTGGCCGAGCAAGAACTCCTGGATGCAAGTGAACGAGTCCAGCTCTTGCACTCCCAGGTAAGAACACACATACATCATTTTTTATAAAATCAACATATTATGTACAGAAGTAAATTTTTAAGATGTTTGTTTGATTTTTCATAACAAGAGGAAACAACAATGACATAGAGCCAACTGTCATATAATAAAAGAAAGTAATGGGTCACTCAAGACTTAATTAAAAAGGAAGCAAAAGGCATAAACTTAGACAACATTCACACAAGCACTCACACAACATTTATACCTGCTGTCCCCCCCATCCACTGTTAATCTATATCAAAAAGATATAAGCCCTAGTACAAATACATGGGTATTCCTATAAAAGTCTACACAGAAACATGTAAAGGAGGCACATCAAACATTTTGTGCCACAAAGGAGCCTAGCCATAAGTACCTTATTTTGTGAAATCTATTATGTGCTCATCTGGTGTAGATGAATTTGAATTTAGGAGGTTTTGCATTAATCTGGTGGAATACCTGCAATAATGTAGCAGGGTTAGGATTTTTCCAGTTTAGTAGCCTAAACCTTTCTAGCTTGAAGGAAAACTGTACCCCTGTGGGTCCAATAACTGGAGTCCAAATGTTTATAAACTTCCTTAAGTTTGGGATTTTTCTACAGGGATGGTGATATATGAGAGTTGGATGCTGAAAGGGTACCCTCAGCATTAAGCCAGGCCAGTAGAGAGATGTCCGCAGAAGAGTCATGATCACAGCCTTTCTGATAACAAAGAGTATTGTGTCTGTGAGGTCCTGTTGTGAGCCTCTGATTGCTGTCATTAGGACAGTAAAGGGGCTGAAACGATAGACTATAACCAAGGTGAAGATGAGTTGGGAGGAAATAAAATAAATATAAAAAGTTGCTGCAGGCCAGGTCACCCTCAGTGGGAATGGCCTATATGGAGGAATTAGCTATTATCTGTTGAAAGTGCTCAAAATAAGGGAGGTTATGGCGAATCTATGTGTTTTGAACAATTTAGGGAGGGAGGAAAGTGGGGGTTGGAATATTATTATTATTATACAGTATTTATAAAGCGCCAATAGTTCGCTCAGCGCTGTACATTACAAAGGGGGACAAAACATGTGACAGAACAATACCAATACAATGCAAAACATGAGGGGATCGAGGGCCCTGCTCCTTGGAGCTTACAATCTAGGAATATAATTTTTTAATCAGTACTATTCAACCTTTAATATTCAAGGCTATAGAACTTCATATTTGTAGTGTGGTCACCATATGGGTCAGGCGTACAGACAATTTCTTTCTTTCTCCTTAGAACACAAGCCTTATCAACACCAAGAAGAAGTTAGAGAATGATATGAGCCAGCTGCAGAATGAAGTTGAGGAATCTGTGCAAGAGGCCAGAAATGCTGAAGAAAAAGCCAAGAAGGCCATCACTGATGTATGTACTGAACTCTGCTGTGAAAATATACAAACAATATAATTAGTTAGGTTGATATCTTTGGGAACAATAACAATGTAAATGTTTTAATATGTGCCCAAAGGCTGCTATGATGGCAGAAGAGCTGAAGAAGGAGCAGGACACCAGTGCCCACTTGGAAAGAATGAAGAAGAACCTTGAACAAACAGTGAAAGACCTGCAGCATCGTTTGGATGAAGCAGAGCAGTTGGCAATGAAGGGTGGCAAGAAACAACTCCAGAAACTGGAGTCCAGGGTCAGTAAATCTGAATTCTGTTCCAAAGCTACACGCAAACTGTTAGTTACGTAGTTAAATTAATATATGGGAGGTTTTTTTGTCAAAAGACTGGTATTTCTTTGAGCCTGGTTGGAGACTTAAATAATGGATTTGGGTGAGGTGGTTCTTTTGTAGCTCTGATTTTGGTGATTTGACTGTTGTTAAGCAATATAGCTTGAACACTTTCCTATCCCC